GACTACATTTTTTTCTAAAAAAATTTCTAAAAGTTTCCTTCTCTGCCTATTCTATTTCCCCACCCCCTATGACCACCGTTTTTGCAGGACAAAATGCTTGGACTAGGGTATATGAGTGGGTCTACATAAGCTACTTTTGCCTAGCAAACAGACAAACAAACAAACCGATCCGGTGCTCGACCAGTCTTCTACCTTACCCATGCAAATACGTGGAACGCGAACGTTCTCCTTTATTCGTGAAAAACTACTGTATGTGCACGCCTAAGATAAACATGAGCTCACCTTGTTCACGCGCTCCCTGGAAACTTCAGGAAGACCCACCAGAGGGAAGACACCGAGAGCAACCTGCACAGGACTGGTGGGATCGTTGGGGTCCGAGGAAGCCAGAGAGGGAACTCCGCGAAAGGGAATCTTGGGTGCCAGAGAGGAGGCCCAGGAAACTTCAAGGCCGGCCAACAGACCAATGACAACGCGAACAAGGGGGAACAGCGGTTGTGGCGCATGCGCCCACAGCGACAGGGCACGCAGCTGGGTGGACGAGCTCGTTGGCATCGCGACTGCTGTAAAGTAATGAGGAAGGATGTTGTAAGAAGTAGAAGAAAAATGTCTGCCCCTCGTCGAGCAGGGATGTGGGATGATAGGGTAGAACATAGATCTTTTCCCTAAGACACGGTTTCAGCAGCCGATTGCTTGATTTCTTCTCCGATAGTTAAAAACATACTTTGGTCGCGTTTCATACCGTAGCCATCGGCCGCTAACAGTGTTGGATACAAAAAAAAACTAGCGGAAGCACAAATGCTGCCCGAACGAAAAGCTATGCACGCTCTCCTACGTAGGCAGTTACAAGCGCAAACGTCAAGGAAGTCGGTAATAAGTCCGACAATAGGATTCGGTGCATTAAAAAAGGACAAACACCGATCAGCCGGTGATAGAGTTTCAATACCAGGTCATACTTATAACGAACGAATACGGCTGCGTGAAGAACGCCGGCATATTTGCCGTTTGATTTGAACCAATCAGTATTTGATTGAAGATCATTTAGTAAGGCTGCCTGGGAATTGAATGTAAAACGGAAAAGCATGAGGATATCTTTGGTGGTATGTCTGTATTTTCTGAATTGAATTTATCCTCGGGGAGAAAAAAACAGAAGTTACATACCCCCCCCCAACCTATCTCCGGGCCTACTTGTTCAGAAAGACCTGAACGCCAGGAAAACAAGGTCTTTCGATCAAACTAACTCATTACGCCTAGAAAAGGTGGACATGGGTTACAGCAGTACCATGACAGGACAAATGCTGACCGCCATCAAGAAAAGTTCAACGCACTGCCAGAAATAATTTTCAGACTTTAAGCAGGTGTGGAAAGAGCTAAGGGATCAATACGCTTGAAATCTAAGAGCCACAGTAAACCAGACTGAAAAGTAGGTCCATGACACCTTTTAAAAGGCGTTTTTCGGACAAGGTCTGTACTTAGTGTACTTGTACTTGTTACGGCTCTGATCAGGT